TGATGTGATTTTTTCGTTATTTATTTTTCGTTTTCTGAGGAAGTTGTATCTACAGCAATTCCACAGTCTGCCTGTTGCACGCCCAGTGTTTCCCGTAGGCTTACAGCTTGGGGGGGGCAGACGAACACCGACAGGATTCATGGTGTTCATGTGTTTCTTTTAATGACAGCAGTTAATATAACAACTGAACTACACATCGAAACATTTCGTTTTATGACAATTATCCACAAAGTGTGCCGGTTTCGTCAATGCAGTGTGTCTGGGTTTCTGGAAGAACATTTCTAGACCCTCTTGATATGGGAAGTCAGAAACGTCTGGCCCATTTATTGAGATCTGCATGCAGGCTGCTATATGGTCTCCTTGCAGCCTATTGCGGATGTTTGTCTTCACCTGCAAATACATTTAAAAAACGTAGATATTTTTGTCTGCTTTTCAGGTGGTTGACGTGACATATTTTCCGACACGCGCTCTGTCCGATGGTGGGAGTGTGCTCACCTGTGTGTGCACGCACGTGTCTGTGCGCGCGCGTCAGGGTAGAACTCCGCCATGCGCGATACAGGGAGCAGAGGAGAATTGTAAACGCGCGACCGTGCAGAGACAAAAATGACAAGTTGTTGTGTAAATTACATAAATAACATAAGGCTATTTAGTTTGTTTAATAAAAGGACAATGTATAGACATGTTCTATAGGAAAGGTAACCTTAAATGATGTCTGTTGTGATCTGGCGCTATATAGAAAATCAAATTAACTTGACCTTCAAGGGGAGGGGGGAGGAGGGAGGTGCCTTGGGGGGGGGGGCGGGGCACCCCCCTAATATAATGGTAGTGGAAACTTATCTTCGTATTGGAAGTCTTGCGGTCATGATACACTGGATACTGGCATTTAGGGGAATAGTTTACCAGACAGCACGTGCTTGAGATGCAGATTCGCTGATATGCGCAGTGTTACATGTACATTAATACGATGCCATGTCATGTAACCAGCTGAAAGGTCAGGAGGAGCAGAAGCTGACTGAAGGTGACGTTCAGCAGGTCAATCACACTCCACGGCCTTCAGTCACTCCAAAGGGACAGTCACGGGTAAGTCACATGGTTGGCCAACATGTATATTATAGCAGGTCGGTAGGGCTTCGCTGCACATCCTCACACACTGTGATCTCGTAAGCACAGCCTTCAGGAATAATCTCTGCATCATCTCGCCAACGTTCCAGACTCCACATACACCCCAGAGCTTCGGCACAAACGTGTCCCAGCTGTTGGAGAGTCAGGTCCGGGAGCTGGAGGACCGGCGATCCTCCATGATGACCATGGAGGTTCTGCTGGCGGAGCTCAATACTGACAGAGCGGCCAAGGCTGAGGAGATCCATCGCCTCAAGGTGCGTCTCCAAGGGGTTCCAAACGCATGGAACCTTCTGCGTCGTCCCGCCTCGCGCTCCTCATAATCTAAATAACATAAAGCGTAGAAATATATTGTGTTGCTTTAAATTGGATTAAAGTGAGAACTGTTATATAAACTCTTCAAAAAAAATTTCAGGTACAGCTGAATGAGAAGGAGATCACATGCATAGAAATTCAGACACTGCTTGATAAGTTCTACAAAATGCAAGGTCAGCCCCATCCGACAACCGCAAATAATGGGTGAGTCTGCCATGCGCCGTCGTTCACCAACGGCCTGTAGTGACAATTAGCATAATAAACTCTACCCCCGTGCTTAGCAGAAGGAAAACCTTTCTGCTGTTCAAATGCTGCTTCTATTCAGATTTAATTTCTTTTCCTGTGTATTTTTGGTGCCTGTAGTCAAACATTTTAGTTTCATTTGAGCACAACGCTGCCTTATCTAAGTGGCGTGTCGCATACGTCAGATGTTGGCTTTCATGGTGAGGATGCAGGTGAGGTTTTCTTGGGACTCTTTGTTGCAGATCATGTTTGTCTAATACTCTTCCCCTACCCAGTGCAGGGCCTCCTAAGGACTGGTTTGGGAAACACTGGTCTAAACAGTGCTACACAGTAGACTAGTGCATCCCCATTAACATTTCACCTGAAGCTCATTTACCGTAACCTGCTGCTCTTGTGTTTGTTTTCCCAATGAGGCTGCAAGCAGTTTGATTTTCCTCTGTGGCCTTGTAGATCTTTCCTTGACTTTGACAGTTCCTTTTAAGTTTAAGTCCTTAATGACACTTTAGACTGCAAGCAGGTAATGTTTATCTGAGCTTCCGTCAGCTGCTTGGAGGAGCTCATGGCTGGTGCAATTCCCTGCGGGGTTTGAAGGGTCAGAGAAATGGTAAAGCTCTGCAATTGTCTTCCCCTGACTCAAATTAAGGCTTCATGAGTCAATTGAGTTCTGAGACCTTACAAAAATAGTTAAATGAATTCTTGTTTAAAAAAACTAAAATCAACCCTAACTTTTGCACATAGCTGTGTAGCTCCCAGATAATTATAGGGGCATATTAGTATTTTATAGGCCATACAAAATGACTGCATACACCCCTGAGCATGTTTTATTTAATGTGTGTTTTTAAAAATTCTGATCATTTGATTGAATTAGGCACTGAGATGTGTCTGGAGATCTTTCCATATGAGTTTGTCTCGTTATGAATCCTTACCGAAAAGGGAGACTGCGTTGTAATATTTCACTAAATGTTGTGTAAATTAAATGTTTGTTCCTCGATTAGAACTAGGGGGGTATTCCACGAAGGAGGATTTCTTGTTTAGCCGGATAACTTCTTGGATTTAAGGTAGTCTGGGCTAAATGGACTTTATTTTCGTTCCCTTACATTTAGCCCAGACTACTTTAAATCCGATAAGTTAATTAATTTAACCTTTATTATCCCTCATGGGGAAATTCTTTTTACGCCTCCATCAACTTGCTCTTTGTAGAACAAGCTGTCCGTGAAGGGAGGCCACCCGTAGCAGCGCCCAGGGAGCTGGGGGTTAAGGGCCTTGCTCAAGGACCCACAGACGTGCTGAGGCTGGGTTTGAACCGGCGACCTTGTGATTACAAGCACACAGGCTTAGCCCACTGAGCCACCGTTATCCGGCTAAGCAAGAAATCCTCCTTCGTGGAACAGCCCTTAGGTCAGGACCCAGAATAACTGACATCAACTTTCGTTAGTGTTTGAGATTGAGATTCTAAACACTGGATTTAGTTGTGGGGCCTCCTTTTATTTTATTCGGGGGGGGGGGGGCACTAAAAATGCAACTTCTCAGCTGTGTTCTCACCGCCTTCTCAGCATACCTCTGCGGGTGAAGGCGTGTACCGACTCACGCACGTAAGACTGAAGCCCCCCAATGTATGTTCTGTGCCTGAAAAGGTCTCCAGAGTGTCCCTCACGGTCTGGGTTCACACTGCCACTAAAGTGTTGTCTGCCCAGCAGAGAGGGTCTGCAGGACGCCATCCAGCAGTCCATCCTGAAGCAGCTGCAGGAGGAGAAGCAAGCCAAGGTGTGTGTCCGTCACCATCTGTCACGTTGGCGTCCATGTCACGCAAGCCGCATTTCCATGTCACGCAAGCCGCATTTCCATGTCACGCAAGCCGCATTTCCATGTCACGCAAGCCGCATTTCCATGTCGGTCACCTGTAGCCCGGGGATGGTCTCATTCATCCTTGGTCGTTGTCCCTCCTTTCTAGATCGCTGCCATGGCGAAGCTCTCAGAAGCTGAGGAAAGGTAAACATGGACTCGTTGTTCTGAAGGTTGACGTGAGGCTTAATTCTAGCAGCGTATTTTCCAGCTAGTTGGTGATGTGAATAGATGCTTGGGATGACACTGGGACACCCAGCCATGGCATGGCCCGTCATTTCTGATCATGCCTTAATCGGCAGTTTGGGGCTTGTGGGAGATTTGCTTACACAAAAATATTCTGTGGGCAGAAGGAAAAATGATTGGTTCAGAGAGAGAACCAATCAAACTGAAGAGGAGGCGGGACCAAGACCAATCATTTCTCCTTCTGCCCTCAGAACATTTTTGTCAGTAAAACTCTCTGTCTTTGGGTGGGGTACCATCCTCATCGCAAAGGCTTAGCTCCTTGAATGTGGCCTGAATACGAATCCGGTGGCCGTGGTAGAAAGCAGAGCTCTGCTCACTCTGAGGGATGGTTCTCCTCCAGGCTGCAGCGGCAGGACACGTCCCTGGTTCAGTCTCAGAGGTGCATCCAGGAGCTCACGAATGAACTGCGGAACCGCTGCCTGGAGCTCCGAGACATGCACGTCAGTGCCCAGCAGCAGGAGAAGCTCCTGCAGGTCAGTGTCCCATCAAAACGGGGCCTGGGGGCAAAACAGACACTGCTAGACGAAGGCAGGCCTACCAACGCGACCATTACATTCCAAGCAAGAGGGACACTGGCAAAGAATCTCGCCGATTATGGTGGTGAACATTTAGTGGCTTTAGCAGTGCTCTTAAGATATCTGGCAAGATCTAGATTAGCACCTAGAACATTAAAGAACTGGAATTGGCTAGCAAGGGTATCTGTCTGGTTCATATCCTTCGAGGTGGATTAATAATCATGGTACCGAACCCTAATTTTACGGTGAATTCATCAGAATCAAAGAAAAATAACGTTTCAGTTACAATGGGGAAATTGAGGTTGAAACATACTGAGCTGAAAACCGTGTGATGTTAAGTAAATGTTTAGCAATGTGATAGTGGAGGTGCTTGGGTTCAGCTGACAGGCGGCATATTGCAGGAGGTGGAGGTTCTAAGGAGGCAGGTAGACATCCTGTCTGAAGAGAACGGGAAGCTAGTGGGTCATCAGAACCATCGTCAGAAGATCGAATACCTGGTGAAACTGAAAAAAGAGAACACGAAGCTGATCGAGGTAACTGTCCTGTCGACGTCGTGGCACGGCCGATCGTGATGTCCCTTTAACCTCTAACCATCTCTGTCCGGCCAGGAAAATGAGCTGCTTCGGTCAGAGATCGGCCTGTTGAAGGAATCGCGAAAGGTGTGATGCAGTGGAGCACACGGCCTCGACGCTGGTGGACGTCCTGCCTGTCTGAGCCGTGGGTCCCAGAATGTGACCTGGGTCCCGTTAATTCTGGTGCCACGTGAGACTCCCCTCACTTCTCTTCAGGTTATTGACCCACCAGCTATGTGGGTCTCGGGTAACAGTTATCCATCCTAAGGGCTCATGTATATCTTGGAAAGTACTTTTTAAATGACTGTTCCACTTACTGTAGATCATCTGATGTAGCTGTGTCTGACATGGGTCTTCGTAATCCATACATTTCTGCCTCTGTCCACGTAAATCTTATTATATAATTTTTATATGTGTAAGTCTGTAGTGTCTGCTTTGTTTTCCTGATCCCCCCCAACCCAACCCAACCCCTTTTCTTGTTAATAGCTTGATCACACTGTATTTGTTCCCATGTTTTATTTTTGTGTGGTGTTAATGTTTGTACCGGGTGGTATATTCGTGGTCTGTCACTTTGCGTTACTGAAAAGCATATGAATTCAACATATGAATAAAGCACAGAATGGCTTCCTGTGGTGATGAACTTCAGCCTGTATTACACATCCACAAAAGCGAAACAGGCCAAGCTGCTGCTTACATGGTGCCCAACCCCCATGTGGATTCCCTCCTCCAGAAGGAGCCCCAGCTACTGACACGTACACTTACTGGTCACCCAAAGCCAGCCGGGCGTCACCCCCTCGCCGATAACACGACTAATCCAGTCTGATCCAAAGAGACCCTCACTGAAGGTTAACAAGTAGTTTTTTTCCCCAATGTCCTATTTTACTTTTTTTTTTTCTACAACAAAGTTTAGTGATTCATTAATTTTCCCGTTTTCATGTCGTTCCACCCTCGGCATTCTGTAGACACAGGTAGGTCCGTCTCCTCTGACCGGAGCCTCCCACACGTAGATGGGGGGGCTTGAGGTCCACAGGGAATCAGTTGTTTTCTATCTCTTCCAGGTCCAAATCGCCACATTCCAGAGGGAACGCGGCCGTGTCTGTTTGCTCGGTGTCACTGGTGTCCTCGTCACTCTCGCTCAGAGCTGCTGAGCGTTTGAGGTGGGGGGGGTGGTGACGATACAGGGACAGGTGGTCTGCAGCGGGGCTAACGCCAGGCCTGGCTGGATCCGCGGCCGTATTCCCGGCGGAAGGCGATGACCTCGGGTCCGTCTCGGGGTCTCCGGTGTCGTCATAGTCCAGGGAGCAGAGACTTCTGGAACTTTTTAACGTCTACAAGTAACAAAAGAGAACAGACTGTATACCCTGAGGGAAAAGACTCTGCAGTGATCTTAGAGCCATTTTCAAAGCCCACTCGGCCCATCTTTCTTTCTTTGTTTGTTTTTTACTTTTCAGATGAAACCTCCAATTACCTAAAGTCCGGCATGCTCATTTGATACAGTATTGGGAACCAAAACTCTCTCAGTCCTCATGTAATCCAGTTTCTTTCATCGAATTTCCACAGAATTAAACTCCTTAAAGTTCTCAGACATGGTACTTGTGTACTTATACCATTCACATATCCTCTGGACTGAGCGGGTTTGTAAATCTGCTCTTCGGTTGGGTTCCTGCACATGTATAAACTTATGGAAACCTGAGCTTGTAGTTTAAGCCAGTGTCCCCCAGGACCCCCAGGTTTTTGCTCCGTCGAGGACTCTGGGGGTCCCCAAGCACTGAGTTGGGAAACGCTGGCGTGGCGCGGCGCCCCCTGCCTGTGACTTACCCGAGTCATCTTCAGGAAGTCCAGTGCGGGGCGGGTCCACGGCCGGCCTTCTCCGCGGCGCCGCTTCAGCCGGTTCCGGTGCTCCTGCAGCTCGCTGGGCTGGGAGTGGCAGCGGGGCCGGGGAAGGGGGGCCAGTACCGCTGCGTCCAGCAGCTCCTGGGAGACAGAAAAGCAGCGGCAGGGGCTGCCGTCGGACGAGCGCTGCGCCGCAGAGGAGGAGGACGAGGGAGAGCAGACGTCGCTCCTCTCGCTGCCGTCCGCGAAGCCGCTGCTGGCGGACGAGGGCCGGGGAATGAAGGAGGTCACCTCCGGCGAGCTGTCGCCGTCTCGGCGCTGGGAGACCGCCGTCCACACTCCGGATCCGCTACCGGGTTTCCACGGCGACCGGCAGCGCATCAGCTTGTCGGACTCTGACAGGGAGCGGCAGTGGCGTTTGGTGGGCAGGGCCAGCGACGGGCGGCACGGCGCACTCGGGCTCAGGATGCCGGGCCAGCCGCGCGTGCCCCCTGCCCCGACCCGTTCCCCCGGCCCCGCCGCATGGTCACCCCTCACCGGGAGAGGAACAGTCCGGACCAAACACTCAGCCCTGGGGCCGAAGCTCTGGCTGGCTGCATTCCAGTCACTCTCTCCTAGGCCCAAACCGCAAGAATCCCGCTGTTAGCGCTAAATTTACGTCACGATAATATAAACTCTATATTTCCGTGGAAGTGCTTCCTATATAGTGAGGCGCAGCATATTTAATACAAAAACCTATTACTGCACAAACAAACCCCACAGATTACTTACCATGGATGCTATGAAATGACTGGTTCCCAGTTTGGCTCTCGGCCTCAGTGGAACCCTGAAATAGAGTTCCTAATGTCACAATACTGCTCCAAACTGACACAGATTCTCATCTATGTCATGTTTATGCCTCTCTGGGTTGCAGCCTAATTAGTGACGGGCATAAATTGTTGGCATTAGTCAAACCCCATCTGCCATGGTCCTGTGTGGTACTTAAAACCAGAGAAATCCATTGGTGGAATATACAGTATCTCAGACGGGTGCTGAGGGAAACACCCAGAGCCAGGATTTCGGCTGGATGACCAACCAACTACCTTGACATTAGAAGATTCTTAGTTGTTAAGACAGTTTTCTGGTCATGCTACCCAAGTTACAAAAAAAGAGCAAGACGTCCCTTTACAAAACGACAAAGGTAAATTGCTTAAGTAGAGCTTATTCTAAGAAAGGAGGATCGTGGCACAGTCATTTGCCCGTTACTGGGGGGGCATTGTCCTCCAAACACTGACCAGGCTGACGCTGTATGTCCTGCAGGGGGAGTCGGTGAGTCTCTGCTGCTGCAGTCTCGCTGTGACCAGCGTCACCATGGTGGCTGGTGCCCTCTCGCTGCTGCTGCTGGTCAGCATTGAGGTTCCGGCAGGCGCTCACCCTCCCATGTCCCGCTCACGAGCTCCAGTCAGTTAGCGGGAGGGGGGCACTTTGCATGCCCTTGCTGCATTTGCTGGAGTCAGACGGAGATCGAGGGTCTATAATAAAGATTCACTGAGCATCTGCGAACGTCACCAGGTACATTTAGATGCCAATTAAACAAACGTTACCCCGTCTGATCCTCTGTCTCTTACTGCCAAAGCCAGAATGCTTACATTCAATCGATTGTCATCGTCAGCTGCCCGTTTTCTTACAGTTGCCTGTGAAGTTCGTTGCACCTGCGCTCACGCCGTCTTTCTGTGTTTGGCAGTAAGGCATGAATGCAGCGGCTAAAATGTATCTAAGACTGCCCACTTATTTGAGATATTCTGAGATTAGTTTTTCGGGTGAGCAGACTGGACCGATTCTAGTTCTAGGGCAGGAACTATTCTTGTACTGGACAGAAAGGTGCTTCACAAGAACTGCTTCAGTGAAAAACCCAGACCTAGGTACCTAAACATAGATTAGCTGAGTGATTTATTCTGTCATGCTGAGCTGGACGCCTTTAAGGGGCACTTTTTCCAAAAGGAGGAATGCCTGAATTGCACCGTGTCATCAATGCACTGTCACTAATATATATGTTAGGTGCCTCTGTTAATGAGCCCTGCTTTAGACACGCAATGATCGCAATTGATGAGTAATGAGGTTCTGACTTATTTTCATAGTTATCCTTTTCATAACATGAGATGAGTTTTGCCTTAACGCTTACTATGCAATCAAATAATATTCCTACATTTCGCATTCTAGCTAAACCTTACCGAACTATTTCAGAAATGGATATACTTAGGCAGCACGAGGTTTAACTGGTAAAAAGGCTATAACTGGGTCAGGCGTACTTCCAGTTATTAGCGATCTATAATTTAAGGCAGTTATTAATGGATTAGCCACCACAGATAGCCATCCCGCTAACAATCCTATCCGGCCTAATAAACGGCAGCCAGCTTTATAATCTGCTTTTACAGATTAGTTTGTAAACAATCAGTAAACAGGCCGTTTTCTCCAGATATGCTCCGTATATCAATGCACGCGAATTTCCACGGAGTAAAAGCAGATACGCCTATCTGGGTGGCATTTCATTCCATCCATCTTTAGCGCCTGCGAGCCCGCATATGAGCCCAGTGGGTCGCCGTGGTTCCGGTACCGAGGCCCGCAATCGCCGGCGCTGTTTCCAATCAACGTTTCGAGAATAAGACGAGAAACGCGACACGCAAAACGTAACCGAGAAAGTCTACCTGGAAACTGTTTCCAACCCAGCAGGTTTGCCCGATATAATGAGTCTTGTATTGATACTCGGAGAAAAACATCAGCAGTCCCCTCCGGGCGATCCCGCCTCCCCGTTTTCATTGGCCGCGTTACGGCGCTCGGCCGGCGGGGAGAGTCAGCGCTGAACCGGACAGGGTTAATCCGGGGAGCAAGCGGGGGAAGCGAGGGCTACAGTAGTGCCGATGCCGGGAATAAAAGCGGTACTATAGTAAGGAAGCGTATTCGTCCGCGAACAGAGAGGATCTGCGCTGCTTATTAAATTCATTATTCCCGTTTGTTCAAGCACTGATTGGCGCAGACACTATACAAATTGAACTGAATGGGTTTTTGGACGGGTAGGAACGATGCGTTTGTGAGACCGTCGCTAAAGACGGGAACTGCGGTTAGCTGTATGCATGCCGAGAGAAATTAGATGTAACATTATTTTTAATTGTTTTATTAATAATAGTAAATTTACTCCGCGTTCCTGCATAGATCAAGTGGGTATTACATTTATTTTTATATAGCGCCTTTCACAACAGCGGCGCTTTACATGAATGTGTTGTGATACATTACAGCATCATTAAAAATGGTGGAAAATGGAAGGATGGACAATGAATTTGCAGATCCCTGGTTTAATAGCAAATTACAATAATAGAATAACACCAAGTAATAATACCAAAATTGACTGAATTTTTCTCTAAACGTATCCTGTAGACTAGTGAGTTTTGGAAACTTGCCCTTCAATCAATTTGATGTTGACTGTCTCACATATTAATTTTTTTAATAAAATAGCTATACTTTCATTCTTCTGCCAACCTCCGAGAAATATTTGGGCCCAAAGTTCACAGACATCTAACATAAACCACAACCAGTTACCACTGTGAACAGTGTCCAAAAGACTGTTCATATTTTTACGATAGTTCAGTTTTCAGTAATATTTACTGAATTTAATTATGCACATGATTGACTGAATATTTTACTTTATTTTATACTGAATACAGTGGAAACTAAACATTTTGGAAACATTTTTAAAAGTCAAAATGATGTGTTGAGAGTTTTTTTGTAACATTTCTGATTTATCTGTCAGCATGACATCTGACGTGTGGAACCTCCTCTTGAAATCATTCTTAGTGATGGAACTTTCCTATAAACAGGCAAAATGGTGAAGGAGACTTTTTGTGCATTAAGAATAACAGAAGAGTGCCGAATAACATGGACCCACTGCGGTGCATGCAAGGTGCCTGCAGGGGGAGCCCAAGGCAGAGGCGACGGTCTGTACAGCAGTACATACTACTATCACAATGCAAGAACAGCTTCATGGGCTGTATGCAGTACATACTACTATCACAGTGCAAGAACAGCTGCATGGGCTGTATGCAGTACATACTACTATCACAGTGCAAGAACAGCTGCATGGACTGTAAGCAGTTCAGTTCAAGTCAATGATATCAAACTTGCGGTTTAGAAAATAGCAAGTGTCTTGCCAGTTAATCACCAAACTACACTTACATTTCCCAACTTAAAGTAGTAAAAAAAAAAGTGCAAATACAATCAAATATAACAAGACGGAAAATTTGGATTTACTTTCTTTACTTTTGTGGTAGGCTTATGATTCGAAATTTTTTAAAAGAACAAGTTGTAAGCAAAACTCAGAAACTGTGAATGACATCAGATCATAATCTTAAAAAAAAAAAACCAAACAGGCACAAAAAAATGGTGAATCCAGTGAAGAGCCGGATCAGAACCAGTGACCGCAGTGCGAATGCAAAGGTAACCACACACAGCCTGTGAGTACTGGAAGTTTCATTTTCCATGTTAAATTTTATTTATGGATTTACTATTTTATACGTCAGTGCATTTTAGGACTTCATAGTAACTGCTATATATGCACCTCACCATGGTCCATATACTTAAAATCTCCTTCGTTTATATATGGTATCCACCCCAACACAGTCGTCCCAAATAGTCTGAAACAAGCCCATAGTATACCAATATAGTATACCAGCATAGTATACCAGTATAGTATACCAATATAGTATACCAGCATAGTATACCAGTATAGTATACCAGTATAGTATACCAGTATAGTAGTTAGTAGTGGTGGGCATGACATCACTCCTCCCGCCGCTGTCCACGCAGCCACTGCTGGCTAACGGAAGCCGAGGTGCTGAAGAGTGTGTGGCGGAGGTCACCTCGGGTGAAATGCCACGTTGCTGGGAAGCTGCTGTCCAGTCAGGTCCGCTGCCAGGTTCCCATGGTGAGTGGGAGTGAATCAGCTCATCTCATCACAATAAGATCCAGTGGCATTTGGTGGGTAGTGCCGCGTTTGGAGGTGAGTACGCTGACCCAGCCATGAACCAGGATCGCATGCCTAAAACCCTTTTAGTGGTCATGTGCAGGCCAGAGGGATGTGGGGTCAAATCCCATAGCTTGTAGAGTAATCTTGAGTAACATCCTTAACGCCAACTGCTGCAGAAATGTTAGCTGAGGTGTATTTTAGTGCGAAGGTGTCAGTGTAAACTATCCAATTTCCCCACAGGAATAAACAAAGTGCAACTATTTCATCATTAATTTCAAAAATGATATTGTGCTGACAGTTACATAAATCTCTGCATAATCCTTTATCATTTCATCTGCTACATATTGAACCTGCTTATGCAATTGTTTTGAGTGACCAGAGAGGAATTATTCTATAAACAGGAAAACTCAAAGGAATCAGTGGACGACTTAAGCTTGAAATTAAAATCCGTCACCCAGTTGTGTTATATTCCACGAGCATGCAGGTAGCACTCTGGCTTGGGCAGTCGGTCGTGAAAGAAAATGTGTATAAAATATCATCATACAATACATTAACCCCATAAATTGGGTTCAAGTGGTTTAATTTATGTTAATCATAACAAACTTGTCGGGTTTTGGGACTGCACCCTGACCATTTAAAAAAGCTCTTAAAAAATAAATTAATTATGGACTGAATATTTTTCGGAGCTTTTGTTCTGTACTATTTCAGTGAGTGGAACATAAGACCCCATTGCACTTCTTTGAACCTTTGTAGGCCTTAATAACTTACCGCTAAGAAAATGACTAAGGCGAATACTTGAAATTCCCTGCCGGCCGCGCTCCTCTTCTTAAATTGCTCCCCCTCGAGACTGTTAATCACCCTACATGAAAAGATCCTAATGGAATAGTAGCAACTTAAAATAATTAAGCAGTGGGTTATTTTAAAAACATGACTCCCGCTTACGTAGTTGTCATGAGTTAAATTTAGCCCTCTTGGTCTAATTTGCTTCATAGCTGTGACATACCAAGAGAATTTGACCACCGATTATATTAAATAACTGTATGACCACGTTCGCAGACCACCATGTGGATTTTCAAATTAATTTCACACATCTGCAGACAAGTACTCATTTGCGTATATGTTGGAATGCTCATGTATTTAATTAAAAAATAAAAAAACTATACAAAGGACCACGGCAGCGTCTGTAGGCAATATTCCTTTGCAACACCTGCACAAGATGCAGAACATGATGCAACTACGTTCGTACAATTTCCAGACCCATGATAAGAGACGCTCGTTCGCATTGCAATTTCATATATGATGCCGCACTGCTAATGGCCTCAAATAAGACGCCCGGGTGCAAGAAAACACTCATGCATCCCGATCGCACATTTAAGGACTTAGGGAGACACACTCACGCCCGTCTATAAAATGACGTTCAGCCGCTTTTCCCTGACATGTTCTAGATTCTTCGTTAATGGACGGGATGCCAAGCCAATCAACATGTGCCTAAGAGAGCAGGTAGCCAATGAGAGCAGGTGGGAGGCGGGCTTTGCGGGGCTCTACATGCTTTTCTCGGCAATTGCGCATGTTTGCTGCCGGCCGCTCGCTGCAGTGGAGGTCTAGAGAATTCTGCGGGAATCCGCTTCCACCGGGATCAGTCTTTCAGCCGTAGCTGTCTAAATAATCCTAATTTTACTTAAACATCTAGTAGTTCGGCTTGGCAAAGAATTGTCTTAAAGCCGCGCACAAAAGGGAAAAAATAATCAGGCGAGCAGAAATTCCAACCCTTTGGGGCTGTGGGGGAATAAGGTTTTTTTCCTTTTCCTTTATGCAAAAAACGGCACTGCTAGGTGAGCGGAAATCAGCATTAACTTTGTCAGCATCCCCCACGTCACCATGTCAGTAGTGGGCTTCGATCTGGGTTTCCAGAACTGCTACATCGCGGTAGCCAGGAGCGGCGGCATCGAGACCATCGCCAACGAGTACAGCGACCGATGCACGCCGTGAGTATCGCCCGAAGCCCGGCGGCCCGCTCCGGCCGGCCACACCGGCGCCGTCATCCCCTCCATCCCTGCGCACCTCCATCTGTCAGGCGGATGCCCTCTAATCCACCATGAAATGGGTCGCCCTCCCTCTGACTCCATTGCATTTTCCTAGACAGGATGACCTTTCTGCTGTTACTGCGTCTCATCCAGGGACAATGGGACCCGTTTAACGCCGGTGCCGCCGTCGTCTGGATCAGCCCTGGGGTCAAAGCGCAGAAGTGCGCAGCCGGGACGCGTTAACGCCGTATGTCAGTGATTATCCTCCGACAAGGTTACATAGCGTCGTGTGGATCTAACTCCCCCGGTGTCTCTGGGGTGGCAGTGACCCCCCCTGAAACATAATCGTTATTGTTATAAAAACCCGATGCTTGCCTTTGATGTTTTTTATGAATAGTGCACGATTCTGTGATCGTAGTAAGAAACGATTCACATTGTTTAATATTTGACGCGGCTCCTAGCGCTGGATCTGCTCTGCTGCTGCCAGCTGAGATACTCTGGTGTTTCGGCCCGATAGAAACCAGGGATGCGTGTGATGCCTGGTGAGAAAGGCGAGGATGTAAATCCCTTCAGTCCATTATCGTTTCAAAGCTGTTTGTGCTCAAGGGCGTAACTTTGGCTGGAACATTGGGGGGGGGGTCTCCACCCATTACAGGGG